AGTGAATCTACTGGGAAAGGGGTGTTTTTGCTCCCATGCCGACCCGTCTTAGCAGATCTGAGTTGAGCCGGCTGGCAAAGGGAGAACACAGCCGGTCAAAACAGGATGCGCATGGAGATTGCGTTCCCTCTGAATTTGTTTGTCATGTCTACCGTAATCGCCACACGTGTGTCTCCCATGTGGGTGCCTAATCAATCGTAACCATAAACGACGCTATACGAAAACAGTGATGACGAATTATAGACATGAATGGGAACTCACCAGGCTGTGAAAATGTTCCCGGATGGCAAGCGGGAAGTTTGAGACCGGAATAGTTGAAACATGAGCTCATGTTGAATTGGTTTAGCTTGAAAGATATCATTGAAGGAATTGCTAGAAAGAAAGAGGTGTGGGCGCTTACCTGCTCTTCTTTGATGGGAGTTGGTGCTGCATTGAAAGCTTGCATAGAGAGATTCATACCGGAGAAGACGTCTGTAAAATGGCCAGTAGATGATGGCATCGGAAGGGCTTTTTAAGCCAGGAAAAGACTTTTAGAGAGCGACGGAATTTTCTCCGAGAAGTCTGGTCAGGGTGGCTTTGAAAGGATCAGACGGGAACGTCTAATAAGAGTTGTTGTGTCGAACTCCCACAAGCAGGTGTATGTGTGTTATGCGGGCGGTGTGACCGCGTTAGCGCAGGACGCTCAATGAAGAATGGCGCTAGGAAAGGCGCCATTGACGATGCGGTAACGTCGTTAGCGGCAGGCGCTCCTACGTTTCGACGTCCCCCAGAATCACCAACAACCCATCGTGTGAAGCATGAGATCCCCACAAGGATCCCATCGGACACCATGCCATCGGCTTATTCTTCAATTCTTCGTACATTTGGTTTCCCATACGTCTCCATTGATACTTCTCCCATTTTTCAACTAAAGGGGAAGAGCTCTAGGAACTCAGTTCCTCCCCGCTCGTGCTCTGGAACTCACGCGGTCGGAAGCGAGTCCTTCCTGTTACCCTTCTGAGGGTATGAGAAATCATCGGAGGGCAGGAGAACCAGAACAAGGCCTTTTGTGAAATTCAATCCCGATGCACTCTATATTGAAGCCGGAGACGCAGAATTCGGCTACTCTACTTCCCAGACTCTTCCCAGTCTATGGTTTCCAACTCACCGTTCGTCTGTTTCTGAGGTGCCACGTTATTTGTATCGTAGAAAGGATTCCGTCCGAGTTGTGTGTTATGCATACCATTCTGAAATATTCAAACTTAATGTGGGTAATCTTGCCCAGACAACTATTCGATCGATATATAGGAAAAGCACAGTCGGTGAAAACGGTCATTCTGCCTCAGTCGGCTTGTAGCTTTATGGATTAACTAGGTTTTTCATCTCACTGGAGCATAGGCTCTCTGAATTTATGCTACAAGTACAGTATTTTCTGTAGCTGTCCCTGTTAGATTCCTAGTTTATGTTGGAGTTGTCCCAATGAGGTCGTAGGGATCTCTATTAGGCTTTCTGGAAGCTACGGGCCAACAACGAGCTGATTAGTTCGCTTTCCACCTGAATACTGCGGCAAGCCCTTCCTCATTTATTCAAAACTTTATACGAAAATTGGGTCCTGCGAGGACATTGACGGAAATGGTCAGATAGCCTTATAGGCACTTATTGACATCACCTAGCAAGAAAAAATAGCATACTGGAAGAGGTTCGACGATTTATCGGCTCGGCTTGGATGTAATTTGCATTCGAAACGACGAGTTCCAAATTGAGGAGGTCAGATCCTGGGGACCTGAATTCTGGGAACCTCCCAAAAGTGTTG